AACTGGCCAATATCAAGTTTGATCCAGTATAATCAATTCTCACTTTTCTTTTTCAATTCTCTCTTTCAATTGACAATCTCGTGTCTTTTTATTTTTTTCCCTCATTTCTTATTTCAGTGAGAAGGAAAGCAATTAAATGAGAACCAATTTATTTTTCCACCAATTTCCTGTATCCATACTCATATTCGCCTGCCTTTCTCATATTAAGAATGAATGAACCTTTCTTTTCTCTTACCTAAAGCCAATCCCACTACCTGTGAAATAATGGATCCCCTTTCCTCTTGCTTCCTCGGTGGGTCTGTTTGTGCTGTGGCTCCTGTACTGTTGGCATTCTTGGGTGACACAAATGGTTAAACACTATGAGCTGAAAAGTTGGTGGTTTGAATGCACTCAGAGGCTCCTCGAAAGGCAGGCCTGGAGACCGGTTTCGGAAAGATCATATGAAGCAGGGCTTGCTTTTGCAGCACATGTACTACAACTGGAACATCCAGAGAAGGTTAGCATGGCTCCTGTGCAAGGAGGACACGCTAATTTGGGGAGTGTTCTATATTTAAAAAAAAAAAAGCCTATGGAACAGTTCACCTAGGTACATACAAGATCACCGTGAGTCAGAACTGACTATATGGCAACTAACGAAAACCTATACCATCAATTTCTCCAGCTATAGTAGCGGTTCTCAACCTGGGGGTCGTGACCCCTTTTGGGGTTGAACCACCCTTTCACAGGAGTTGCCCAATTCACAACAGTAGCAAAATAAGTTATGAAGTAGCAACGAAAATCATTTTAGGGGGGGGGTCACCACAACATGAGTAACTGTATTAAAAGGTCATGGCATTAGGAAGGTTGAGAGCCACTGATCTACAGGGTTGTTCCCACCCATGTCCCCAAATGCGTATCTTTCATACCTAAAGAAATTTCAATTAAAAAAAAAATTTCACTAAGGGGCAAATGGAGAGCTAATAATGAGTATAAGAAAGGAGAAAATTAAAAGAAAAACAAAACAAAATGTTCTAAAAAGGATTATAGATTGTGGTGATGGTTGTACAACTCTTCTTGATATGACTGATCTTATTGAATGTACGATATATGGATTATGTGCCAATAAAACCTAAAAAAAAAAACTTCACTACGTATTCCCTTCCAAATACTCTACCATTTCTTTGTTCCCTTTAGAGCAAAGGGTTTTTTTTTTGTTTGGTTTGGTTTTTAGAGCAAAGTTCTTAAAGAAACTTGTCTATACTGTCTTTCAGGAGCCTTGGTAGCATAGTGGTTGCAAGTTGAGCTTCTAACTGCAGGGTCAGCAGTTTGAACCCGCCAGCCTCTCCAAGGGAGAAAGATGAAACTTTTTACTCCCATAAAGATTTAGAGCCTCGAAAACCCATAGGGGAAGTTCTACTCTGCCCTGTAGGGGTGACTGAGTTAGAACTGACTCAAAGGTAGCGAGTTTGGATTTTTTTTTTTTTTAATTCTCACCTCAGTATACTTCAATCAGTGTCCTATCTCCTTACCACTGAAATTACTGTTTTCAAAGATGTCAATTTTGGCAAATCCATCATCAATCTTGAGTCCCAATTTTCCCAACCTTGCTGCAGAATTTGACAGTTTTTACTCATTCTACACAGCACTTTCATTTGGCTTC